ATCACGTTTCTCGGATGAGTCTCAATAATTCAATCAAAAGAATTTGTTTCAAGATGTCGATTTGGAATCAATGCTAAAGCTAGAAGCCTGTCTGGCTAAGGTAAGGAGCATCCTAACTAAATGTAAGAACAAGAGAATATATTTTTGAAAAGTTTGAAAGCGTAGCTCGAGTAGCTCGCTTAGCTGCTGAGTGTCAAGTGAAAGTGTTAGCTTCAGGTGCAACTCCTCGAAGCCATAAAGGATTTATTTAGATAGATGGTGAATTTAAATTTGATAAAATTAAAAATAATAATAAAGATGAAATTAATTATTATGATGATGAGATTGATATTATAATAATAAAATTAAAATTAATAGTGAAATATATATTTAAATATAAAAATAATTTTAAAATAAGATGCGTTATAACGAAAAGAAAAATTTATTATTAAAGATATTAATATAAAGTTTAATAACAAACTATATATATTTTAAAATTATTTAGCATTTAAAATCTTAAAAAATTAAATTAAAATATTAACACATTAATTTATATTAAAATAATAATTCAAATTTTAAGTATTAAAAATTGTAAAATTTATTTAAAATATTTAATATTTAAAAAATAATATTTCTAACAATTAAACCATGTGAAATAATTATTTAATATTACTAATGTGAATCAATTATTACTATATATATTATACATTTTTTTTAACCTTCATTTTGAGATATTTTAAGACTTAACAAAAATATATGATGACACTTTTGAAATTTTATTTTGGTGTGAGTAGATCAACTAGAGCCGAAAGATCTAATGGCTTTTGAGTTTCTAATAGCAGGTGTGATGATATTTGGATATGTTCTCATTGGTTAGTCAAGCACAAAATTTTTCCAGACGAATAGTATAATTGCACTTCAACGTTACTAACCGGGCATCCAAATGAAACCTAAATCTTCATAACGCCAGTTTAAAAACGATTAGGGAACAATACTTGATGGGGTTTGGTTTGACCACTCACCTTTAAAAAGTAAAAAAAAAATAAAAATGATGTCCCTTTAATTTCTCAACAACTTGGCTCTTGTTTTTATATTATTCTTTATTTATGATGGAAGGCATATTTTTTTGTCAATCTTTGGATTCCGTGCTTGGGTTAGGAGAAAAGATAAAACAAAAGCAAAAGAAACTTTGTCCTACAATCCAACAAACATAATGATATTCATAAACAAAAAATGCCAACATCATTCAAAATCATGGACCAAAAAAGGTTGCTTTGAATATTTAAAGCACTACCTTTAGTTCCTGTTTACTCTTTGTATTTTTCTACAAAAATGAATGTCAGCTGAGCATGCTGTCTATGATTACTGTTCAATAAAGCTAGGGTTAAAAAAATATATTGAAAATGCAAATCCAGCTGAGTTGACTAAAGTAATATTGAATTTTATAAGGAAGAAATATATTGTATATATATATATATATTTACAAAAAATACTGCAATTTAAAAAAAATTGAAGACATGAAATTGAATTCCTAACTTCTTGAATGTCACGAATCAATTGAATTAAAATTTATATTTTATTATATTAGATGTTAAGAATTACCAAATTCTCAAAACTTCAAAGTTTTAAATTAAGTTGAAGATGGAAGACTATCATAAACATTGATAATATACAGCCTGAACCAACTAATGATTTTGAATGTTAACTGTTTAATTCTTTATTAATCATGGGATTTGCCTACAATGAACTCCTATAAAATTGTGTAATATAAACTTCTTGGGGGAAAAAAAAAGATTCCAGACTGGTTGTGTTGATGAGTAAGTGAGGAAATGAAATTATTTAGAAGAATCAGATCACTTTAATGCCATGATTTGGCAACATGTGCTTAGAGAAGATATGAATTAATGAACAGGAAAAGAAAAAAAAAAAAAAAGGGAAGAAACTCCCATTTTCTTCAAGAAATAATTGATAAAATTTTGTCAGTTTCCAATAAAATTTTCTACCCACTTGCAATTATTTATATAAGTTATATAAACAATCTGAATTATAAGAAGATTGGAGAATTGATATTATCGTATAAAAATTTTTAAAGCATAATTAAAAGGAGAAATTTTTTTATTTTCCATGTTTGATATTCATCATACACAAATTCAAACAAAAGTAAAAATATTTAACTGATCTTTGGGGCTTTACCATTTCCAAATCCTCCCCAAAGCCATAACCCCATAAAAACTTTCACAAATCAAGGAGACCACATCATATTTAACGTACCAAATGAGTGATGAACAAAAATATTTCCAAAACTTTAGTCTTGAAGAAATGCTGCTCCTCCTCCTTTGTTCCCTTTCCCAGCTGTCCTCCTCCTGCTAGTGGTTCCAGCTTCATGCTTCACGTTCCCATCACTATGAATCAACGGCACGTCGTTGGCTTCCTCGCCGTCGTCCTCCGTGGCTATACGGATGCAAGAACATCGTTCTAGTGATGCAAAGAACGCAGTTGCTACACCATTGATGAACCACATCGCAACACCATCAAGCTTTCCACACCCACCAGCTGGTGAGCCATGGGTGGAGGATGATGAGGGCCGGACAACCCTAGGCTCAACGTTATTTGATCGAAGATTGAAGAAACCAGAACAGCTACTAGTACTAGAGGTAGTGGCTGCCATGAATTTGGTGATGAAAAACCTCAGAAAGAGAGAGAGATTTAGCTGAAGCATAGGGTGTCCCTTAAGTTATTAGGAGACTTGAATTATGGTTGTTGTTCAATTATTACTATACTAATGCCTAATTCCTACTATGCCCTTAATCCTTTGTGGAATTACAAGTGTGCCTTATTGAACGTGAATACGTGATCATGATTGATTCGCTTATGTGAACGTCTTTAGCATGATCGATGAGTGTGCCCAAAAAATGGAAAAAAAGTTAGATGAAGGTTTTTAAGTAAAATTTGTGAAATTTTTATCATAAATGATTAAATAAAAATCACAATTGATAATCAAAGTATATATATTGAAAATTTTCGTTATATAGATTAAATGTTTAAAGTTTGAAAACATTTTAATAAATATATATATATTTTAAATAGATATTTTTAATAAAAATATTGATAAAAATTTTACTGTTAAATAATGATCGATCAAATTTGAATTATAAATAATATCTTTAATAATTTATATGTATATTATTGTTTTTTACATTAAATTTTATCAATTTATTGACTTAAATTTTTTATTAAAATTTTTTTAAATCATTTTAAAAAAAACTTCATTTAAAAAATTTCATGTAAGTTTTATCTCAAAAAAGTTAATATATTGTTTATATTGATTTTTATTTTTGGCAAAAAAACTGCTGATTTTCATCTTATTGTTCATAAATAATTTGGTTAACTAATGAAAAAATATTAGATTTTTACCCTTTCCATTCTTATCAACTTAATTAATCATCTTGAATTTCAATAGAGAAATGTGTTATAAATATTGAAATTTAAATTTTATTTTTTAAAAATACTTATATAAATTAGTTAAATTCGACAAAATAATATGTTGAAATTAGAAAAAAAAAAATACCCCGACTCGGTAGCACCTTAAATCATCTGAATATATTGTAGAGAAGGGCCCGCCCCAGCCCTACATGCACGGTTGTGTTGGGTGTCCCAAGCCGAGATGGTAGACGATCACTTTTCCTTTCACGTTACTTCATTCCTTTATATAGAAAACTAGCTAATAAATCCAATATTTCCTTTTCCTTTTCCCTTTCTCAGCAAATTTTAATATTCTATTTATGATGATTTGTATGGTTAGAACCAGAAAGACCATATCACGGGTTTTAAGGTGATAATTTAGATGCTGCCAATTGTAAATTATGTGGTCATCCTTTAATTTTGTTTAAAAAATGGTTAGAAATGGCTCAAGATTCTTTGTGAATTTCAACACTAATTATTGGCAGTTCGGCACAAGACAATGAGTCACGGAAATGCCAAAAACTATACCAAATTAGTGTGGGATGTTTTGAGGAAGATGAAGTATCTGTAACAGTTGGGATTAATGAAAATGTTCATATATAACAAACAAAATCATTTACTATAATATAATTAATGTATAGTTTAATATTCATACCATGGGAGACTATTAAGATTGTTTTAGAAGCACATAAAGATAATCGATTCTAAATTTAAAATTTAGTTTGATTAATTTATATAATCGATTTTAAAGCAATAATAAAGGCAAATCCCATATCATATATATGGATAGAATGGATAGAACTTGAGCAAAACATCTGGTAATTGTACCATAAAATAATATAAGTAGAGACTAGAAATGGAATAGTGTAATGAAGATTATGAATGGCATTATTATTAATAACTATAATAATAAGGCTGAGACTGCGAATGTAATGATGAGACCCAAAGGGGAAAGTGAGTCTAATCATAGTTTACCACCCCACTTTGGCTGACCCCCTCGTCACTAAACCTATCTAACAATTAACAAACCTAACTTTAGGTTTGGAGAGGGTGAGATTAGTTGTATTGTTGAAGCATGAAATATCTTGCATATATGAAGCGAAAGAGAGTAGGTAGATTGTAGGATATAGACTTGAATGGTCATTGTTTATATGGGGGATGATGGATGACCATTCATGCTAGGTAGCATTGATTACCAAGGAGTTGAGTTAAATCTTAATACTGGTTTTTTCCATCGAAGAATAAAATAACAAATAAAAGATATTTCAATGGGATAAACCTAATTTCGTGATAATTCTTTTTTAATTATATACAACCTATTTCTAAATTCTAAAAACAAAAAAAAAAAATCCTAAATCTATTTATAAAGTATAAACAAAAAAAAAAGTTACTGAGGCTAATAAAAAATCTCTTTGATCGTATAACGTATTTATAAATTATATATATAAAAAAAAAGTAAGATGGTAATGGCAGAACAGCATTATTCATATTCATTCGAAATTAAAACCTTTGTATAAAGATTTGATTTGAAACATTTTGCAAGATATTCATCTTTTTTAAGTCAAAGTTTAGCATGGAACAAAACCTTGGAATCTATTTGAATTAAATTGTCATATAAACAAGACGTTGGCAATTTGGCATATACTTTAAAAATGGAAATCCTAAACCAGTGATAAAAATATAATTGAGGCTGGATAATGAAAAACTACATGCCAACTGCGGACTGCTAAGCAAAACAATTGGGTTTTGTTCCTAGGCCTAGCCCGTTTGATCATATGGGGTGGCCTTGAGCCAACTTAACATTGGTTTTGGATTCCTATCTGCAATGGACCAGATCCGGTCATCAAAATCCATTGAAGTATCTGGTCAATTGCCTCTTCCTTCACTGGTTTTGCCTCTGCAAAAGAGCCGTAATTGGAGATGTTATACCCCTAAATAAAGTAATAAATCAAGTATAACAAGTAAATAAGCATATCCACACGTCTGAAATTACGTGGTTGGGGTTGGATTGCCATTTTCTTGCCTAACCTGCATATGCGAGCCCCAGTTAATACTTCTTTGCAGATGCCTATGTGCCATGAACATGTGCGTTTCTTCAAATGAAAATTTAGAGTAGGCTAAATGGTTGTGCATAAATCCCCTCCATGGGGTCTGGTTGGTATGATTGGTCTTTCTGTCACATTTTGTGATTAAGGTTGACCAATCCCTTGATTTTTCCAAATAATGGGTTATTATCTCTACCATAATCCACTCATTGTCGACAGTCATACTGCAGAAGCAGCAAAACTTTCCTTGGCAGGAACTAATGCTCCTATGGATAAATATCTTTCAAGTCAATGACTGGAATAAGTATACTAATCCCCTCCTACTAAGAAAAATCACAGTTCAAAAAGTGTGGTGCAATGCTGAATGACACAAGCTGTTATTAACAATGGCCAAAAAATTGACACGAAAATTTTAATTCTTAATCCCAAAGCACATTAATGAATATTCGATGTTCTTTTGGTTTCTAAATCACTTAGACAATCCACCTATGACGGACTGAATTTGTAACAACAAATACCACTAATTGTAGTATACAGCAGTGAGAATATTGAGTTACATCTGAATAATGCTAATAAATTTGGGGGAAGCTAAGTGTTTCCTAAAGTTAAGACCACTAATAAAAATGAATTACATGACCTTAGTCATACCTTTTATTTGAGTAGAGAATATTACATACAAGCCTTCTGATATAAGCAACTTCAATAAGATTTCATTGTATTTCCATGAAAAGATGGAACAAAGCCATTCAAGCAGGCAAGACAACTCTACTACCACCCAAGATATGTAAGTACAGAGCAAGACAAATGGTGACAATAACGGAAGACTTTGCACCAACATATCTGATAACATCCAGTCCCCTTTCCACAACCTCGACATGGACAACATGAATGCTTCTTTTCAAACCCTCTGAAAGCTTCCATAACAAAAACTCCACTATCGACCTTATTGTTTCAAAGGTCACTCTCCCGGTCATATCAAGCACAAACTTCCTATTGCTGGGAACTGCCCAAGCCGATGAGAACTTATCAACCCACCCACTATTCTGAATCCCATCAAATGAGCTCCTCTCTTTCACTCCCTTTAAAGATACTTCCTTTTCAAAACAACCATCTCTCATTTGACTGGCATCCTCACTCTGATCAACAATTGAACAAGTAGTACCTGAGCTTGAGTTAGAATTAGAGTTTGGACTTGTCAACACTTGATGTGATGTTGTCACCAGCGTTGCCACAGCACCATTACAAACAGAAACCAAAATGTCTCTCACATTGCTTTGATGCTTTGGATTGGTTAGCCCGGCAAACATTTCATCATAAATATTAATGTCCATTGTCTTATCAAGATACACTGCAACAGCTGTGCTCACAAATCTTTGTATGCAGTCACCCAGAAGCTCTTTACACTTATCATCATAAAGCAGATTAACCCATTTGGGCACATCAGATGACCCAACATTCCCACTCAACCCATCAACTTCTCTGCGATTTGAGTAAAACCCCAGAACCAGATTCCTAGCAAAGCTACCAACCACAACAGATACAAACCCAGTCCCAGCATTAGAAAAAACCCTATCAATTACCCTATCAGTAAAGCTGAAATTCCCTGAACCTGTTGCCAATTCACTCTCATTCCCTGCTTCTAACTTATACCCTCTTAAAGCCCCAAATGTTAAAGCTTCAATAACCCTAATTAAAGATTGGGAAAAATCCTCTGATCTCACAATCTTTGAAATTTGCTTCAAACTGTTAGGAATTTGATCAGAATCAGATTGCAAAAACTCCCTCAAGTCCTTGGAGACAACATTGATCGTCTCCGCGGAATCCGAGACTAGTTCAGCTAAAGAAATCAGGGCTCCAAAGAGCTTCAAAAACCTCTTTCTTTTCTCCACCACAGATGGTAAATTATACACCTTGTAAACCCCATAACCAGAGACTCCACATATAGCTAACGAAATAAGCCATTTTTTCTTCCTTGATGAAAAAGTCAACGCCTTGTTCAACAATTGCACATCCATTGACGAAAACAAAACCCTAAAGCTACAAGAATTGGAACCCTAGGGCTTCTCAAATGCAATAGAGAAAAGAAGATATTAACACCAGAAACTTATGGTCTGGATAAGGTTTCAAAGGTCGAGAAATCTAGGGTTTCGTTTAAAAGTAAAAGTAAGAGAATTTAAAGAGCAGATATTAAAAGAGGATAGATAAAGACGTCAATTTGGTGCTGAATTGCGAGAATTCCTATTGGATTTGCAAAAGGATAGTGAGAAGACGAACCTGCAAGATCAGAGAAATGGCGTTTTTCCTGTCTCTTTTTTTTTTACCAGTTATTTCACGTCCGTAGAATCTTTCCTCTGGCTTGATTTTTCCAAAATGGTGGCGATCTTGCTTTCACTGATAAGGGTCCTGTGGCTGTGCAGCTGGTGGTGCCCCACTGCATTTGTTGTTTGCATAGCACCTTATTTATGGTGCAGTTGGCCCAATCAAAGGTCAGTTGGGAACTAGTATTAAGGGAATTACTGGACTGGGCCCTCGTCATAATATCTCACTATTCAATTTTTCTTTCTTAAAATATCCTGGACACAAAAGATTTTTTTTTTTTTGAATTTTTTAATGGTGTATTTATATGATTATTTTGTTATAAATTTTATATTGAATAATATCTATAATTATTATAATTATTATTTCTTTTAATATATATTAAATATTTCAAATGTTTTTATAAATTTTTATACTTAAAATCTTAATTATTTTTTTAATATTAAATAAATATGTACTGATATTTTAATTGAATAAATTTTCAAGATATTAAATGTTAAGTAATATTAAAATATACATAAATATAATTTATTAATAGATTAATTTCTTTAATTTTTTTATTATTTTTACCACACTGCTACTATTGTTTTACTATCTAAAAGCATATTTTATTATTGATTTTAATTTCATCGATAATTTATTGCAATTATTGTTGCCTTTTTTTTATAATGTTTTTGTGAATTTAATAATTAGTATGAAAATGATTTTTTTTTTTTTTTTAGGTTTCTCTAACTTTAGTGGATCTATAAATTTATTTAATCCACTAAATTTAGATTTTGTTTAAAATATATTATTAGTGAAAAAAATGGGAATAAATAAATTTCTGTAATCCAGATTATTTATATATGAAGAAATTATTGTTTCATGCCATCAAAATCCAGATTATTTAATATATGAAGATATATTAAATATATCCAGGAACGAATAATTCTGATCTCAGAATTGAATAAAAAGATCCTTCCAACGATCTAATTACATATATAATAATTCATAAATTACAGTAACAAATATAAAAATCTAAGTTTCAGCATCTACAATCTCAAATATTGTGAATCATCACCTGCAATCCCTAATCTCGTGAATCATGACCTCATCTTATTACATAAGATTTAGCGGAAAGATTTAAAAAATACACCCTGTATCCGATGGTGAACCTTATGTTCTAAGAATGGAACTTTTTAACTACAGATTTTCTGTACAAATCTTGTATTACAACTAAGGAAAACTGCGACAAAGTTGTTCTCATTGTTTTCTATTCTCATTTCAACTTAAGCCCCTTGTACATTTTCTGTGGACACAGGACATGGTCCTTTCGATGTAGCACGTTTTTCCCACCCTGGAAAATCAATATTGTTTCAGTTACAATCCTTGCACAACCAATCAACATCAGTGTCATTCTATTACCAATGATTGATCACTCATCATATTCAAACAAGCTCCCGAGACACCTTCAGCACCTGCAACCCATAATGCTGTTGGTGTCCGTAAACCCAGGTTTTACACCAAACCAAATGACCTTTCGGCTCCATCTTTGGTCCAACCAGCAGAGCTTACGTCAAGCTAAGTCCAATCACAGGAATCATGTTTTAGAAGTTCCAAATCCCTCTGAAACTATCTTAGATTTTGTACAGGTACTACCCTCATTGACATCCTCCAGATCACTGAAAGAAATATCTTCTTCCTTCCCCATACAAATTGCAGCCACACTATAACCACCAAATTGAGAATCATCATCTTCTGGCCAATCAATGTCATCATCTTCAAAAGTTAGAATCAATGTTTTTGAGGATGGACCAACCAGATGATCCTTATACTTAGTGTTAGACACCGGTCAATAACAGACTTATCAATGAATGGCATCTCAGTACCTTCAACAGGATGCTTCTCAGTCTCATAATCTGTTGTGATGCTGGATGTGGGTTCAGAAGTATAGGTCCTAGGTGACATGGTCTCAAAGGTAAAATAACTGGATGAGGAAGGAATAAGATCTTGGTGCATAATACTAAAGCTGTCTCCTAAGTGCGAAGTGCTTCTTCCATACCAGTCAGTTTCTGGCTTCGTTTGCTTTTGCAGCTCCTTCATCCACAATACTCGGGCTTCTGTTACCTGCCAGCAATGGATTAACCACTAAGATAATTAATCAACAATATTGTTCTGCACATAAGCTTAATCTAACGAATATGAACTGTGAAAAAACAAATACATAAAGTATCTAATAAAAAGTACACTTGTGGAAAACAAATCCTGATCACAATTCTAATAAGCCATAACATCACTTCAATGAAACTATATGAAATGTTATTGTACTGAGCATATAAAAACTTCAGCTAAGAAGTCATGGAGAATCCAAGAAACAAATCTCGTAGATGGATTTGTAAGCATAACCTTCTTGACAAAGTGAAGAGAATAAATTGAAAAAAAAAAAAAAGGAAAGGATGAAACTCGTGTCTGACATCATCAGCACATCAGATATGACTTAGGAAACATGGAAACCAAGCTATAGAAGGTTGCTTGATTAATCTAGACATACACATGCACGACTAACTTTCCAGTGGGTTGTAAACTCACACACAAAGTGGACTCTAAATTTTACCTACTGCCTGTAGGGAAATGATAATTGTAAATCCAAAGGGAGCAGATTAGCTAGAGTACAAGTGCAAAATGTGGATGTCTTATTTGAAGGCCAATGCAAGGGCTATGTGCAAGAATAAATATCTAGTAAACTCAAAGGAATATGACAACAATTAATCATCAGACTTAACAATATTTCTTACTCCCATATTGACTGGCGTATAACAACTCAAGATTAAATTTAAATTTTAAAATGTAAAATTGTAACCTGAGCCAGGAAAAATAAAACAAGACAAAAGAAACAGATTAAATTGAATGCTCAATAAGGGCTCAATATAATCAAAACCCCATTATGTAACACTTTCCTGTGAAAGAATAAATATTAGAAGCTTCAGAAAGCAATAAGATACTTGGACCATGATGATATTGTTTCTATGAGAAGCAACTTACCTGAGGTGTAGACAGAATCTCAGCATCATTCTTGTTAAGTCTTGAATGCAGAAGAACAGAATAAGCTTTCCAAAAGTAACTGTCACTCATATGGCAAGGACAAAGTTCAATTCTCAGAGCTGCTAGTCTCGGAGCAAAATGTTCAACGGCCATAGCATGCTATTGTTGGCAAACTGACATGTCAAAATCTAGAACAAGGAAATAAAGAGGAAAAAAATAAAAAATACATAAATCCTATATTGTCATTTTTTGTAAATCTATACATAATAAATCAATAAAATAATCAAAATGAAAACGCAGAAATTACAACTAAAGTTGAAGTTTGTAAATTGAAATTAGCTAGCCAATCAGGCAAAGAATACATCAACAATGTTTAAATTGAGCAACGTTAATATAAAGCATTCTTCTGCATCTAAAATTCAAGCTCAGAAGGTGGGTCTTGATCAAAGGTGCAAACCAATTCAAAAATGTCAAGGGGAGGAACTGACACTTAGTATATTAACTACATTCACTTTAATAATACTAAACTCCTTTATTTAATGATCCAACATTCTAGAAGCCCTTCAACAACACAAGCAATGACTTACATAATGGCCTAGGAAAATAAAGGTAGCATAAATTTGGCATTTTTACATAAAGGTGTAGAATTCAAACAATTCAGTGTTTATTTGAAATTGAAACAAAATTAAAAATTCAGTGTCCAACATTCTAAAAGCCTTTCAACAACACAAGCAATGACTTACATAATGGCCTAGGAAAATAATGGTAGCATAAATTTAGCATTTTTATAAAGAGGTGTAGAATTCAAACAATTCAGTGTTTAATTGAAATTGAAACAAAATTAACATTTTGATCCGTTGACAGCTCTCGAGCTCTAAACAGCTGAAGTCTTTAGCAAGAATTCCATGGCAGAAAATGCAAAGAACAAAGAATATAAATAAACAACCAAATTATATTACTATGCAATGAAATCAAATAAATCAGGATTAATTCGAAAGAAAATAAAATTACATCCAAGTCCTCATCGGGATCAAGAGGGAAATCCAACCACGTTTCTGGGTGATGTGCAATGTTCCTCGCAAACGCCAACACCTCATCCGTTATCCCAACCGCATTGAACTCCTGATACTCCTCCTCATTTTCATTTCCTATCTCGTTTTCTTCCTCATTTTCCCCCGATCCAAACGGAAAATAATCCGCTGCCATCTTCGACAACCTTCCCCCGATCTCAGCGAAATCATCCATAATCCCCGCAACCGCCGCAGGATCAGACGGAGACTCTTCGTCCCAAGAGATAGATTGATCCGACGGCTCAGATTGATTCAAATTATAGAATGATTGATCATTCGCTACGCGATTGAATTGCGTCGAAGAACGAGGCGGGGGAGGAGGAGGAGGAGGTGGCGGAGCGAGAAAGGCAGCGACTCCCCAGAATTGGCGTGTTAGGCTTCACTAATTCTTAAGTGACAAAAGCCATTAGGCCTTGAGTGACAATTTATCTACTAAAAAAAACATATTCATTCTAATTAATTTTGAATTAAAATTAAATTAAATTATTTTATTTTAATTAATTGAATTAAATTTTTTAATTTCAAAAATAATAAACTGAGATTAATTGGATTAATAAAATACATTAAATTAAACTATATTTTAAATTTTATTTTTTTATATGTGAAATAAATTAAATAAAATCATCTAATAAAAACATTCAAATATTAAAATCTTAAGTTAAAAACTTTAATAATTTGAAATGAAATGGACAAATTCATATTTTTTTAATTTTATATATAGATTTTATAATATTTCAATTAAAATTTTGATTAATTTGGTTTTCAAATCGATTAATCAAAAATTAAAATTTTTTTAAAATTATTTTTGATAATCAATCAAAATTAATATGATAACTAACTGATTAATTAAATTAAATCGATTTGATCGATTAATTCGATTAAAATTAAATTATGAATGCCCTTACTCCCAGTCCCTACTCAAGGCGAACACCGCATTTAAGCAGATTCTGGTATAGTCTTCGCAAGTTGGTTGAAATATTTGCCAATGCAGCCGAAGGCTTCTCGCACAAATTTGTACATTTTATAGGTAGGCAAGATTTTCCTCCTTTTCGTTCCCGCATAAATGTGTTTCTTTTCTATGGCAGAGGAGTGTGAGCGTGCATGCATTCGTGACAAAAAAAAGTGGAATCCAGGGCCCTCAGCCCCTCGGAACCCTGGATCTAATCATTCTAATGTTTATGTACTCATGATATCTAACCGACATTTTTTAAAGTATCCTCGATGTTGAAGATCCTTCCAAACAATATGGTTAGCACGTTTAGGTTGATTGACGTCCAAGAAATTACTCATTTGCTCCACTGAAGATCCAGCTCCCATGCTAAAATCTCAAGTTTTGGTATGCTTGTTAAGCAGTGGAGACTTGCAGCAATTACCACTATTGCTACCTGCAGAGAAACTTCGTTTCAGCAAAAGGCTTTGCTTCAAGCTACAGCCTATAGTTTGATTTGAATGATGAGAAGAGTCCAGATTTTCTTTCTAAAAAGTAGAGATCTGGTACCCCTTTCAACTCAGGCAGATTCAATTGAGCAATTCAAATTGTTAATCATATGTAAAGGAAACAATGTTTTATCTGATTTAAGACTCAAGGAACTCTTTCAACCAAGTATAAATTAAGCTTTTCACAAAAACTTACAGAAATGAAGGAAATCTGGGGATCAGTGGGACAGGGCTTCCCATAAAAACTAACTAGAATTACAAATGACACGAATGCCAACAGGAATCCCCTCCTCGTATCATTTCCCTCTATCACCACTTCTCAACCTCCACTCAGCTCATTTTAAGAGTGTTTACAGTTACATTTCTCTGGTGGATTGAGACAACATGCAACAGTGACACAAACAGATTGAATCACAACCTTGCTGGGAATTATTGGAAAATATGGGCAGAAACTTGAGCTTACAGACAGTGGGTTGGTGAGTACACAACTTCCAATTAGCTCAAATCCACAGTATGCTGCTACTTGATGTGAAACAATTATACATAGGAAATTCTTTAGTATGCACAAGAGAGTAAAGGGTACCTCAGAAACCCGGATTGAACTCATTCTGAGCTCTCCAAAACTGGATGCTCATCAGCTCCATTTGTCATATTGGACAAGAAAAAAAAAAAAAAGAAGAAAGTCGTGTATATCAACATGCTGCTACTTTCCTTCATTGAATCGTTCTTGTAAGCTTACACTTGGAAATAAAGATGGTAGCCGTGTAATTTAGGCTACACAATTTCAACAACTCTGCAGACCGTTGCTTCAACACAGGATTGTAACCACTCTGTATAACTAGAAGGAGCTTTGCAGCCAGACCTGCATCCACAGCAAGTGAAGCACATTCCTCCGGTGCAAACTTGCAAATGGCCCATAGTATTGACAATGCAAACTGAGTACAGTTTTCAGAAGCTTTCATCAATAATTTCACCACATTTGGTATGGTATTTGGACAATCTTTCAAAGCCAATCTTCCTTCTGGAATACTCGACAAAAGCTCCAATATATAAAGGACTAATTCCAAACACTCATTATTCAAACCAGGCATCAGCTCAACCAATAGAGGAACTGCCCCAACATTGACAAAAGAGCTCCTAACTGATTCATGAGAACATATTGTCTTGAGCAAACTCAATCCAGCCGATACCGCATTTGGGTGCTTCTTATCTTTCACTAACCTCAACAACGCAACTAAAAGACTCAAACTTGCAACATTTTCGGAAGCAAAATCATTCCCTTCCATCAACATTCCAATCAACCTCGTACAGTTAATCCTGGTCTCAATCGACCCTTCATTTAAAATATCCACCATTAAAGATAGTTTAGCAGGCTGCAATAAATCAGACTTGGAATTTAAATCAAGATTCAAGTTCACAATAACTCCAATTACCTCTGATCCAACAGCATGAGTTGTAAGAGGACCTAGCAAAGATGAAACCAAACCAACGCCTCCATTTTCCATAACAGTCTTCTTAGCTGTCCCATGAGCTTGAACCAATTGCCGAAGCTCCTTAAGAGCTTGAACTCTAGCTTGACCCTTAACTTTCTTCAAGCTCTCCAAAACTTCTTTGACCCTTCCTTGCACATCCTCTGACCTCTTCTTCATAGTCAAATACTTCTGAGAAAACCAACTATAAATTAGCTGCTGAAGCGTCTTGTTTGGAGTCACTGAATCATCCCAAAGGTCTTGCATCGTGGTGGGGCAAGTGTAATGGCCTAAAGAGAACCATTTAAGAATGTTGGATCTCTCATAGGTTTGGCCAGTGCAAAGAGTCACCGGGTCTTGCATTGGCTCCAAAGAAATTGGACATATGAAAACCGTTGGCACATCCATGGACTCAAGCTCTTCAATCATTATCTTCAGATCCAATTTCTCTAACGCAAAATCAGTGGATATTACCCCACAACCGCCTCCCAAAATGCCATCTTTCACAGCCGTTTCAAGATCTAGAACTTGGCTATCAAGCTTCATGTCAGCTTCTCTTCGACTAGATGGTTGATACATTGGCATTTTTTAATACCCTTTTGGAAATGCTAGACTACAACAGGAAAGAATCTAACAAAGACCCTTTTATTTTTGTTCCCAAAAGAAAACAAAGAGAGCTAATTTACAAGAGAATTAGCCTTGAAGAAGACAAATCACATCCAGCAAACAAGAAGCGTGCGGGAAAGAAAAAATGAAAGAAAGAAAAGAAAAGAGTAAGACTACCGAAGAAGGCAAGAGTTTTGTTTTATCTCTCTTCCTTTGTCTTTCACTGACAAATAAGAAGAATGCCAATCAAAGGGGGCATCTTTTCTTCCCCATTCTTTTACTTTTCATTGTTGTTTGCTTTATCTGATGTCTTTCTCTGGTCAAAAAAGTAACCTCCTCCTTCTTCTTCACCACTAATACCATCATCATCATCAAAGAAAAGATGGTAAAAAAAATGCAATCTTCTTCCCTAATACCAAAGCTCTTGACTACTACTACTACTACTACTACTACTAAAGATACCCTTACTCAGCTTCCTCGTCAAGACTCTTAAACAAAAAAAAGTGAAATCATCACAACCCCAGACCCAGATCAGCTAAAAAGGAGAAAGTGGTAAAGAACTATCAAAAGTGCAACAAAGACATCAATTTTGTACAGGAAAAGAGAAAAAAGAAGATATTTTGGCCATTACAGACATGAAAGCAATGGGAGAATTTAACAATCCTAGTTATAGAAAGAGAAAGAGATTTTTTACATTAAAAAAAAGAAAAAAGAAAATGGCACAGTCTTCTCTACTGCTCTTCTTTTGTGCAGGGCAGGTGATGAAAAACCCAAAAAATAAAACATAAAATTTTGTTTTTTTGGAAGTTTTAAAACTTATCGGAAAAAGGAAGGTGACGGGGATTGACCGGCTGTAGGCAGTGAATATATCCCCTTGGTGACTGTGCATCACACGTGAATTCATATCTTTAGACTTTAGAGTCACCGCTCTATCTTGTTTTATCAGTTTATTTTCATGTACTTGTTATTCACTTTTGCCTTGAATTTTGAACATAAAGTTTTGCATCTTAATTTGTGGGAGCAATGGGCCCTAGGCAACACGGGGATACTTTAATCCGGAACGCAACCTCAGTCTCATTGGTCAACAAAAGGGTAAATGATGTTGCCAAGCGAATAAGCCCCACGTCACGTCCTTTTGTTTCTAATTTCCATAATTCACGATCAACTATATCCTTAGTTGAACAACCAGACCAGACCATGTGTTACTTGAAAATGACATTACTGTCCCTTCCAAATGTTTTGAATATCAAATTAACATTTTCAAAATTCAAATAACATTTTTTTCCATCAGAAAAATCTAGGCACACAAATTAATTTGGTTATCTTAAAAAATTATTGTAATTATAATTAAAAGAATTTTATAAAAAAATTTATGTTGAATAAGTTTTATTAAAATTAATATTTAAATTTAATTAATAATATAATAATTTTAATTATATCATATTAAAAATATTGTAAGATTATAATCTCTTACTTAGCTTGGTGATAAAGATACTTGTTGAAAAAAAAAAAATAAAGATGTTAGATTATCAATAAATAATTAGTTTAATTAATTAAAATTTATTTTTTTTATAAAAAAATTTTAGATTCGAGTCTTATTAATAATTATTTATTAAAATCATCTCAAATATATAATTTATAATATCTATTTTAAATTATCAAATATAATATATTTTATTTTGATTTAAAAAATGAAATAAAATTTTTTTACCAAAAAAAATAATAAAGAAGTTAGATTTATAAACTTTAATAATAGTAATAATATTTAATATATAAGATAAAAAGCGGATAAACGTAGAAAGTAGATTGGTAAGACTAAGCCCACGTGGGTTGGGGGGCCCAGTGAAAGCATGCCTTATTTAAAGTGCCAACTTGGCTTTTGACTGGTTGCGGTGGGAGTGGGTACTCTAATGCTTTGGTCTTTGGTCTTAGATAAAGTGGTTTTGACCACTTTGATTAGCGCTCTCATGCACTTGATTCCGCTTTGTCCACCAAAGCATCGACACGTGGCTGTGGGAACCGGGCATCTCTGTCTCCCTGCCAACTTTTGCTCTGGCTTAACCTCGTTAATTTTGTTTATTAGCATTAAACTTTATGTACGATTATACTAAAGAAGTTGGGAAATTGAGATTTGACCAATAATAAATAATAATTATTTTCTAAGTACCATACGAGAAGAACTTAAGAAAGCGTGTTTGATAGGGCGGCATCTTGGGTCACTAAAAAGCCCATGTATCAATCACCATTGAGAAATTTGTTGGGCTTTAACGTTTCCTTTTATGGCCCATCAATCTCATTTCAAGTTCAAATTGATTTGGATTAGATCTCTTTCTATTATTAAGAATTACAATATATTTCTTTTTACTATTAAAAATTAAAATCTAAAGTTTTTATTTTTTTTAACTTTTTAAAAATTATTGAGAAATATATATATTTCAAATAGCTGGCTTTTTGGATTCAAATTCAATTCAAAAATTGAGAAATAATAGTATTATATGTTAATTTTATCCTTCTATTATTACTATTAGTCAAACAAGTTGCTAATTGTCATATATATATATATATATATATATATATATGAAAAGTATGTTTGAACTTCCTTTTCTATTTTATTTATATGGACAAATAATTGTGTAAGACATTGGTTGCTTGAATTTTCTTGAAATTTTATAATTGATGCAAATTTAAATGAATGAATGAGAAGTTATTCTTAAAAAAAAAATTCAATTCTCGTCACTGCAAAAGAAAAAAGAGAAAAAAAAACAAAAAAATTAGGCTGCGATTAGTTAATAAAAATATTTTTTGTTTTCATTTTTATTTTTATTTTTTAAAAACATGTTTTAATTTTTATTTTTTGAATTTAAAAAACATGTTTGGTATATAAAATGAAAATTTATTTTTAAAAATAAAAATTATAAAAATGTGTTTAGTATCTACATTTTTATAATTAAAATAAATTACTTTAAGAGAACTTAACTCTGTAAAACATTCAAAACTTAAACATTACATAATATAAGGAGCAAAATGTTATACAAAAATGGGAGAAAAAATCAAGTATAGTAATTAAAATATTTTGATTATCTAGATCAAGTGTAACATTTGTGACATAAACTTTTTTTAGAATAATGCTTGTCTAGGCTCTAGATGAATCAGTAAATGATTGCAAACTACCCTCATTTCAATGAGAAATATCAAGCATGAAGATAGATGAGCACTTTCCATAGAAGTAATACAAAAGAATCATTAAATGAATTATAATGCTGAAATGTCAACTACATATAAAAAAATGAAATGATCTTCCTAATAATAATGGATAGCAAAATTCAAATTTATCACTCAAATTCCATAAATCTACTCACTTTTCAAAACCAAAACCTCTAGTGTCACTGAAAAACCAGACTTCAACGCTACAGCACTGCTTACAGGAGCAATGGCAAGACCTTTAGTTTTCGTCGAAAAAGGTGGCAGGGATATTCCAGTGTATCTGTGCCTTGGAGACAATACAACCACAAGCAACTTCTAGCTTTGCTCACAATGACACTTAACTCTGCTAATGAAATAGAATGGCCCTAACTTTTCTAGCTTAACCTTTATTTTTCCATCCTTATGCTCTACAATTGGGATTAAGGTTTTGTAGCTTGCATAAAACTCACTAGTCACTTGTAGCACTAAGTCTTTGTCACCATCATATCTTACACTAACAAAAACACCAAAAAGGAATTAGAAAAACTCAAATAAAAAACAATCCCACAAAGTGAAGTACATCATAATATTAAAGCTCAAAAAAAGTAAATTTATTACTTAGAGTCACCAATGCAAAAATGGGAATTTTCAATCTTATTTGTTGAGAGAGTCTAATTCAGAGGATGAGATCTTCCAAGTGTCTATTTTCCCACCAACTAAGATTTTTTTTAACATTTGTAAAGCTTACAACTAGAAACAAAAGCACCAAAGAAGTTAGCCTTATTGGAAAAGCAGCCAAAGAAAATCAGATTTTGGAAATTTTGAGGAAAAATGGTAGTTTTCATATTCTTCATTTCTTTCAAATGTTTTCGTTGCAATTGTTAAAAACAACTTTTTTTTTTCTCTAAATTTAGTTTATTTTCATTTTCATTTTCCATAAAACATTTTTTGTTTTTTAACCAAACAAGTTTTTTCATTTATTCTCTATTTTTTATGAAAATAAAAATAAAAAACAGAAATATTTTCATAAACCAAAAACACACTTACATTTTTAGGAATCTCATTTTGAATATTGTTTTTTTTTTTTTTTGAAGTATCATTTTAAATATGGTTATTTCTCCAACAAGCATGAACAATAAATAGAAGAAGATAAACAAGGTTACCCAATGAAGGAAGACAAAACTGCAAGCGCCAACAGATAATCTTTATTTTGGTTTACTTCCTTGTCAACGACACTGTGGCCAGCGGCGACAAAACTCCAGAAAAAGAAAAAAAAAAAAAAACACAACGTTTTCTCTCTTATTTTTTTCTATATCTTCCGTAAACCCTAATCCAATAATCCTTGGAAGTTTGTATTCGCATTCCCAAACTTATTCGTTTTCCTTCACTTTCATAAAATTAATTAATTAAAAAGGTTCCTTTAAGAAATAGGATGTCAAGCTGTCGAGATTTTTTGGCAGTCAACTTTAATCATTTTCTTCAATTTAGGTCTCCTTGTCGTTTTAATGCCACGAGGTCGGTCCTCTTCTAGAACTAATGCAATTGATAAAAATGAAAATAATTAAGATTGTATTTAAAATTTTTTAACACATTAATTAAATAAAAAAAAAAGCGAAGAGAATGATTTGATATTTACGAAATTGAATGCCAAAGTATTTTAAATGAATAATTATGAAAATATTTATAAATTTAGAGTATATTTTAAATATCTCTTCATAAATGCACATGATTTGAATAAAAAATCATCACTTATTGTCTAATATCACAACATATATAACTTCTGAAAAATCATGATTTTTAAATTCCTAAATAGAAAAACTATTAATCAACTTTCAAACATAAATATTCTATACTAATTCATGATACATAAATTTTAAATTTTAAATCTAATCACTTTTAAAATTGATCATGGATCAGATCGAATTAGGTTCGTATCAAGCTTAATATGATATTTTAGTATTTTAAACAAGCCTAAATCTATCATAACTTGATTTTTGAATTTTATTTTCTATTCAAATTTATTCTTACATATAATAATAAAATTCAAATTCACCAAAAAAATTAAATTTAAATTAAAAAAATATTTTTTTATTTTTTCATAAATTACTAATTTAATTAATTTTAATTAAATTTATAAATTATTTGGATTTGATCCAATTTAATTTTATTAATTATAATTTAAATTTTGATCATTATTTTAATAATTTATATAAAAAATTAAAATTTATCTTATCATAAATAATAAAATAAATAAACTTTATTTATTATAAAAATAAAGTAAATGAACCTTATTTTATTAAAATAAAAACATTTTTTAATTTTTGAACAAGATGAAACTGAATCCAAACCTTAAATGATAAAATCTAAATTCCATTTTATTTTTTAATCAAATCTCACGGCAAAATATCTTAACGAATTTAATATTCATAATCAAACTTTTTAATTTGAGACGAATTTTCGAGTTCGGGCCGACAATCCGGCCATGAACACGTCTAATCACTTCAAACAGTTTATAGAACGCATGCATTATTGGAGATATATACGTCAGCCGTCCACATATTTGTTCTTATCTAATGCGTTTATCCAATCCTGTGTGCTTTGGACAAAGTCCAAATCCACGGCAGTTCCTCCTTCCATTGATAGTTTCTACTCAACCACTTAAAAATGTATCCTACTAAATTACCTTAATAAATCTAGCTGCTCTTACCTAATTGTTTCTCATCTCAATTCTTCTTCAAGCGTTTCATTGTTTTGATCAAAACCCCATTTCCATTTTCCAACCATCGAATCTATAGAATTTCTACCTCAACTTGCAGAATGAGAAGCAAAGGACATAGCCATAACAAGTTTGTGCGGTTCATTACAGTTCCTTTTAAAGCTTTAGGCAAGGCTAGGGATCTTTATGTTAGAAGTTTGACAAGATGTGCTTCAAGAGTCAGCTATGGACAAAGCTCGGACGAATTCACAGGGCAATACTCAGGCTTGCCAAGGAGCTTTATTGCAATCTCAGAAAAATCAAATTATGACAATGAAGATCTTAGAGAGCTGATTAGAGCTGCATCTGTTAGGAGCTTGGGTCATAGGAATGAAATAGAGATGTTTTTGCAACAACAATTGGGGCTGAAGATGGGATCAAAAGGGTTACCAAAGAGTTGCAGTGTGGGAATGGGAAGAATCGATGAAGACAAGCCTTGTGAGTTTGAAGTAAATGATGCTGCTGTTGCTGTTGTTGATAAGAAGCAAGATTTTTTGTATCCGAGAAGCAAAAGCTATACTGTAACAAAAAGAAGTGTTTCTTTTGATTCCTATTGATTCTGTAATTGCATATAAAGGGAGGTAAAAGAACCTCTCTTTTTCCCTCTTCGTTGTTTCACTTCTTTTGATTTTTTTTTTTTTTGAAGTGTTTTCAGATATGATGGTATATATTGTTAATGGAATTGTCTGCTTTCTCTCTTTTGAAACAATCATCCCAAAATTAAGGAATCCAATACTAGCTAGTATAATTTAACCCTATCCATATCCAGAATGGAAAAGCCAAAATATCAAAATATCTTTGTAGATTTTTTTTGGTCTAGAAGAGCAATGATGGCCAAAACTCAAAAGCAAAACTGATCCGCGCAGATAATTTATCAAATGTCAAGGCATGGCAGGAAATAATTTTACAGTTCAGGCTTAATTTGCATCATTGAATTACCTCTCTTTTTTGGAATTTATTTGCAGTTGGAATGAATCTTCACATATTTGCAACGGCCAGAAGCTCAATTTAAGCTCTTTTTGCTGCGTGGTGGGAAGGATTCTTATCGTATCGTGGTGTCGTTTTGACGGCATCTAGCCCAGGTGTGACGCTTCCCACCACACTGCCAAAAGACCGCTTAGTCTAATTTAGACGGAGAGACTACTGTATTTTCGTTGTGAGGTGCTTAACTGTAGTAGAATTGGCGGTGGCTGAAGCCTTCCCAGAATCCATTGCATTGCCAAAGTTTGAGGCCTTAACATTGATTCCCACTAATCTATATAGATTTTAAAGGGTTCCAAATATAATACTTTCCTTCTTGCCTCTTTTGGCTTTAACTTTTCCTTCTTTTTTAACCAGGTTTTTCTTGGGTTCTTGCTATTACATCCTGAATGGAAAGTTATCAGTAATGACTTCAATTCCATGGGAAACATAGTTAACATAAACAAAGCAAATTCCTCCTTGGCCTTGCTCACTTGTAAGTTCTATTTTACAATGAAAAGAAAAAGGAAAAACAAGTATACCCAAAGTTCAATTGTTAATTCTTGTAAAAACCAAAAGGAGGCATGAAAGAAATGAAATGACGATGCCAGAATAAAGAAGTGACAAGTACTCTATTTTCTAACATTGAACCTTATGTAGTAACATCTTCCATTTATGTCTGCATTTTTGTGTGTTTCTGTAGTAACTTGTTTTCTTCTCTTTAGTCCCTTTCCTAAAACGGGAACATGGGTCACTTTATTAATTTGTATTAATTGTAAGTGCTATACATAGATGAAAAGGCCACACCGCCACTCAACAGTTTTATTTAATGGATAATATCAACAAAGAGGGAAAAGTCAAATCCAGTTCATTTAAGTTTCACAATTTCACAATTTTCTCCATTCCATTTTTGTCCCTTTCTTTGCATTTTCTCATCTCACACTTTTCTGTGCAACCAAACATTATCCAAATCTAAATGTGGCACATAAAAATTGCTTGTAAGAAAGAACTGTGGAAAACGTCCATGCTACCATGCACCAAAGTTCAAAGAGGAAATATTGATGGATAAGAGGACAGCTTCAATAATGAGTTAATTACCACAACTCTTGGCCAAAATAATATTACAGCAACTCAGATGGAGATCTCTGCAGCTGTAACTTAAGAATTTACTAAGCTGGTCTGCAGAGCAGAATGTGCAATCAAAGCTATCTTTTAGTATGTTGTAAACCTTGTTATCATAATCATTCAAGCTATCATTCCAGAAAAGGCTAAACGGGTGGTTTTACTTCCTCAAATCCTTTACTTTTGTGCTTGTGAATGGCAAGATCAGATAAAATTGTAGAACTCCTTTTGTTCTTTCTTGTAAAGGTTCATGCTTCACAGCTTGCTGCGTCTCATTCATTGGTTAAGTTTCTTCCTGGATTTGTAGGGCCTCTGCCTTTTAAACTTGAAACTGGGTGAGTTTATAAAGTTGGTTGGTTGTATGCTATACTTTGTGTGTTACCCTCTTGGTTTGCAGGTTCATGATGTTATATACTGTCAGGTACGTGGGTGTGGGTGAATCAGATGATGTCCAGCTCTTTTACTACTCGGTAGAGTATAAGAGAAATCCGGAAGAGGACCCTCTCCTGCTTTGGCTAACTGGTGGCCCTGCATCACGGATTAAGCTTTCTCTCAACAAAATAGTTAGTACAGCACTTGAATGGACGCTTTCACTCAAATCAGCCCTTAATAGTTCGATATCTGAACAAATAACCATTAGTCACAGTTAGTCCCTAGCATACGCAATAAGGCATATTCATATCGAGATCAATCTCAAGCACACACATAAGAAAGCACATTCACATCGACAAAGAAAAACACATCAAAGCAACAATCGGGACATTAGAATCGAGGTGAATTTCATTAAAATCGAGGATGTTACATCGGGACTTCCCACCATCGTCAGGGCCAGAGGGGTAGCCTTTGACGGATGGCCTAAGCCCGTATCGCGACCAATGAGACAGCTCAATAGTACGCTGCTCGCTCACCCCTTAAAGAGCCTTAGAGATTTTAGAGCTATACTATCACTAACCATCACAATGTTTGAAATGGGGACACTTTTCCTAGCACAAGAGATCTACCCGGCCATGGCCCTATACATGGGTGGCTCATGACAACCTAAGCCCCGATCATGGCCCTATATAAGGTTGACTCATGACATCCTCCCCCACCTATTCTATCGACGTCCTCGTCGACTTGCTGACTTGAAATTCTTCAATCTTCTTTTTGAATCTCCGGAGGTCATGTTTTATTTCCCAGCTGGTTTTTTCTAGTTCTAATCCCTCTCACTTCACTAAGTATTCACGAACTAGTCTTCGAGATATCTTGGTTTCCCTATCGACTAAGATCTTTTCGACTCGACGCTCTGAGGGTGGCTTTATGGTGATGGTGGCTCTAGTTGGCTCCCTTCGGCTAGCATCTGTAGGATCTGCATGGAAAGGTTTTAGGTTGCTCACATGAAATATTGGGTGCACCTTCATCCACTTTGGTGGGTTGATTGGGAAATGATCTTCACTGGACCCTCATATTTGTGCACCAGTCTATGATCTCTCTTTCTCAAGAATCTGGTTTGTTCAGGGACTAGTCGAACAAGGACTAAATCACCAACTTGGAATTGTTGAGCCCTGCAACCTTTGTCTGCCCATTTTTTCATTTGCTTCGATGCTTTCTCCATGTAGGCTTATGCAATCTCCGTGTTTTGTTTCCACTTCTTATCGAGGTTGAAGGCTCTCGGATTCTTCCCTTCATATTGTTTCAAGAAAATGTGGGGTAACCTTGATAATTATTCGGTGACCACCTCAAATGGGCTCTTGTTAATGGAAGAGCTTTTGTTGGAATTAAAGCAAAGTTGAGCAACGTCCAATAACGAAGGCCAGTTCTTTTGATTAGCTTGAACAAAGTGCCTTAAGTATTCCTCTAGTAATCCATTGAACCGTTTCGTTTGACCGTAGGTTTGAGGGTGGTAGCTTGAAGAGATGTTAAGTTGAGACTCTAATATCTTGAAAAGTTTTCTCTAGAAAGATCCCGTGAATCTCGGATCTCTATCGCTGACAATGTTTTGAGGGAGGCCCCAGTATTTGACCACATGTTTAAACAATGTCGAGCTATGTCTTCCGCTGTATAATACTTGTGAGCAGGAACGAATGTGGCGTACTTAGAGAACTGGTCAATCACTACCAAAATAGCTCCAAGATCACCAACCTTGAGTAGGCTCGAAATGAAATCGAGAGAGATGCTTTCTCACGATTTGGTGGGTACCGGTAGTGGTTCAAGCATGCCTGTAGGTTTTTTCTTTTCAACTTTGTCTTGTAGGCAAATGAGACAGGTCTTTGTATAGTCTATCACATCTTGTCGCATATGAGGCTAATAGTATCCCTGTTTCAATAACGCCAAAGTGCGTTGCCAGCCCGGATGTCCGATCTAGGGTGTGTTATGAGATTCCCTCATCAGCATCTGTCTCAGACCTCCTGCTCTTGGCACAAACAATCGAGACCCCTTGGTCTACAAGACCCCATTTTTTTGTCAGAAGTACTTGGACTTCCCCTCTTCCATTAGCTTCAGGATGGCACTGGCCTGCAGGTTCTTCCCTAAATGATCTTCAATCAACTTGTGAATTTCTATCATGGCTCTGCTAGCTGCCATTGGGGTAATTCTTCTAAGAGCCACTAACTCTGTTCACCTGCTCAATGCATCGGCCACTTGATTGATCTTTCCAACGATGTGCTCAAAACAAAAGTCAAACTCCATTAAAAATTCTTGTCATCTAGCTTGTTTCACTGTGAGCCTTGGTTGGGTGAAGAAATGGCTAACGACCGCATTGTCTGTCTTCACGACAAAGTGTGAACCCAACAAATAATGTCGCCAAGCCCTCAAGCAGTGAACTACTGCCATGAGCTCTTTTTTCTGTGCCACATATTTTCTCTTAGCTTTGCTTAGCTTCCTACTTTCAAATGCTATCGGGTGATGTTGTTATAAAAACACTCCTCCAATAACGAAATCAGATGCATCCTTCTGAACTTCAAAAGGCTTTTCAATATCAGGGAGAGCTAAAATAGGATCCTTCATAATAGCATTCTTCAATCCCTCAAAGGCCTCTTGGCACTCACTTGTCTAACACTATTTATGCTCCTTCTTCAATAGCTCCATGAGGGCCGTGGTCTTATGAGAATACCCTTCCATAAACCTTCTATAATAGTTGGCTAGTCCCAAAAATGAGCGGAGCTCACTAACATTTTTCGATGTTGTCCACTCATTAATGGTCCTAACCTTTTTCATGTCCATTCGAATGTGACCACGTTCGACAATGTGACCGAGAAAATGCATTTAGGTATGAACAAATACACACTTCTCTCTTTTCACGTATAACTGGTGGTCATGTAACCTTCGAAGCACTTGATGCAGGTGTTCTTGATGTTCTTCCAGAATGGAGCTATATACCATTATGTCATCTATATAGATAACTACAAATTTATCTAAATAGTCATGAAACACCTGATTCATCAATGTACAAAATGTGGCAAGAGAATTGGTCAATCCAAAAGGCATAATAAGAAATTCAAATGTACCATACCGTGTTACACAAGTGGTTTTTGGCTTATCTCCCTCAACGATTCTGACCTGATGGTAGCCAGATCTCAAGTCCAATTTAGAAAAGTACTTGGTCTGGTTCAATTGATCAAACAAATCTG